ATGTTCTGATGGCTCAGGCCTTTAAACAGTGATGTTCTGATGGCTCAGGCCTTTAAACAGTGATGTTCTGATGGCTCAGGCCTTTAAACAGTGATGTTCTGATGGCCGTGGACCGCTCAGGCCTTTAAACAGTGATGTTCTGATGGCTCAGGCCTTTAAACAGTGATGTTCTGATGGCTCAGGCCTTTAAACAGTGATGTTCTGATGCCGTTCAGCCTGGTGATTCTGTGTGTTGCTGCTGTCTGCAGCTCAGCAACCTGCCAGCAGAAATAGGAGAACTGAAGAGACTCCGGGTTCTGTTCATCTACAGGAACAGACTGACTGAGGTTCCTGAAGAGCTGGGATCCTGCACACAGCTGGAGGTACTGTTCCTTCTCTGAAACATTTTGCTTTGATTGACAGATTTTTAGCCAAACCGACTCCAACAGTTTTAGGAATCATTGCTCTCAGGTCAATTAATTTTATTGATTTATGATCCAATTATCATCCATCGTCTCAGGTCACTTTATAGATCAAGATCAAGCAGATCATCCATTCAGATTAAAGGTTATAAGTTTCTATGTAAGGAAAACCAGAACCAGGTGTGAGCGGCCATCTTGCTGAGGCCTCCTGGGTTCAAGGAGACAGAAGCGGACATAGAAAAGGAACATAGAAGCTCTGATCTATACATTTAATTAATTATGAATATTATTACTAAACACAAATAGAAATTATTAATAACATTATTGTAATAAAGGTGAAATCAAAGGAAACCCTTTAATGATTAAAATCAACAATTCAGGTTATCAATGAACAATTATTAACTTAATTTACCAGAAAATGTTTATAATTCAATATATGATTAAAAAAAATTATTAATCATTAAGCTGTTTAATGAAATGGGGTAAATCTGTGTCTTAGGGATAACAGATCACAGATATAAAATAATCCAAAACAACCTGAGCTTAAATAAAAAAAATACTGAACACATAATTATCTGTAACAGCAGTTATTCTATGCAATGATCCTTTAATGGAAGACATTAAACTACTGAAGAAAAAGGAAGCTGAGCCCATTGATATGTCTAAGACAGAAACAGGACTGAACACTGGAAAACAGGCCAAGCTCCAACATCTAGAAACAAAGGTGTTGATGGCAGCAGCACAGCTGGATGGAGTCACAGCCAAACAGGAACAGACCAGATGAAGCTACTATCTTCCTGCTCCCGATGGTTGGAACCTTTATTCCACTCTGGATTCTCATCAGTCTTTGTTCACTTTACAATAAAAAATAAAAAAAGAAAATGTTTTTTTTTTTTTTTTTTTATAATTATATTTATTGGTTTTTAACGTTTTAACAAACAAATACAATACAAGAACAAAAGAACAATCCAGCTCTTAAAGTTAAATACCTATATACGAGCATATGCGTACACATACGCACATATACATACCGATCAAAGAGAAAAGATGGGAGAAAAAAAAAAAAAAAAAAGGGACAGCAATGAAAAACAAATGGTCCGAACCAGAACATTTCAGATGTTTACAATTCGGACATCCTCAAATTATAAATCCTCTCCGGAGAAGAGCCGAGGTCTCAAATCCTGCATAAGAAATAAAAGGTTCCCAAACCTTATAAAAGTTATTTTCTTTATCGTGCAGTTTGCTCGTCAAATAGTCCAAAGATATATAGTCCAGTACTATATTTAGCCATTGTGATTTACTTGGTGCCTTGTCAGAAATCCAATTCAGTACCACACATTTTCTTGCACAAAAAGTAAGCATTCTGTAGAGTTGATGCTGATGTTTACCAATAATACCGGTGTCGGTTAAACCAAGTAGTAAATACAATGGGTTGAATTGTGTGCCATAGAGAAAATCTTATCTAATTCACATTTTATTGTATGCCAAAAATGTTGAATTTCTCTGCAGGACCAGTAACAATGTGTGAGGCTACCAATATCCACTCTACATTTCAAACACAATGGTGAGAGGCTTGTTTTGAATTTACTTCGCTGAGAAGGAGAAATGTGCGCACGGTGTAAAATTTTAAATTGTATGGCCTTAACCCGATTGCAAATACTTAGAGACTTTGCATTCTTCCAGGCCTCATCCCATCCCTCCTGATTTATTGTACACTGCAATTCCCTTTCCCAAACTTCTTTTAGGAGAAATGTATTTGGTAAGGGGTGCTCTTTCAGCAAGTTGTAAAAGGTTTTAATTGAAGTTTTTACCCTGGAGGAAAAAAGCTGTTTTTCACACACTGAGATTGTTTGGTCCACATCGAGTGTGGTTTTTTTTCTGAATGAAATCTCTCATTTGTAAATAGCGAAAGAAATCCTGCCTCCCAATATCATATTTATCCAATAGTTGCGAGAAAGATAATATTGTGTTACCTTCCATCAAGTCGGAAAGCGTACGAATTCCTTTTATTGACCATGTTTTGAAGCCAGAGTCCATAACGCCTGGCAGAAACATCGGGTTATCACAAATAGGTGTAAGAGGTGATATAACTTGGAACCTGTCCTCAAGTTTTTGGACCATTTGCCATGCCCTCACAGTGTTAATAGTAATGGGGTTACTGCAGTACGTCTTTATGGCATAGTTTTTTCCCAAAAAAAGTAATTTTTTTAAAGGGAACCTGGACATAGAGCTTTCTATATCGAGCCACAGAGAAGTAGGCTCCCCTGTCCAATCAGCAGCAGCACGCATGTGAGCGCTGATCTGATACCTTCGTATGTCTGGGAGAGCAAAGCCCCCACACTCGGCCGGGAGGCACAGTGTAGAAATTTTTAAGCGTGGTTTCCTTCCCGCCCATATAAAAGAACTTAGCCATCCGCTTAGAGCCTTAATTGTTTTACGGAGAAAAAGAACTGGAATCATTTGTATGGGATATAAAAGTCTGGGTAAGACATTCATTTTTAGAAGAGACACGCGGCCCAACCAGGAGAGAGGCAGCACTCTCCATCTTTCAAGGTCCAGCCGAATACGTTCAAATAAGGGGGTGAAATTGGCCCTATACATTTTGTCAAATGAGGGGGTAATTCTTATTCCCAGGTATGAAAATCCCTCTGGGGACCAAGTGAAAGGAAATGGAGCAGGTATAGATGGTTGATGTTTTAATGTGCCTAGTGGCATGACCTCTGATTTGTTAAAATTGATTTTATAGCCCGAAAAATCCCCAAACTTGTTAATGGTCTCTATGAGATGTGGGATAGAATCCTCAGGCTGAGATAGAAATATGAGCACGTCGTCAGCGTATAAAGTAATCTTGTGCTGCCTCTCCCCAATGGTCAGACCACATATCCCCTCATGGGTCCGCACCGCCTCCGCCAGAGGCTCCATAACCAGAGCAAAAAGCAGGGGCGATAGAGGGCAGCCCTGGCGTGTTCCCCTTTGCACCCGGAAATTTGGCGATCTTAAACCATTGGTAATAACAGCTGAGCAAGGCTCGCTGTAAAGTATTCTGATCCAATTAACAAAATTTTCCCCCAGGCCAAATTTTCTCATGGTGTAGAACAAATATGGCCACTCAACGCGATCAAATGCCTTTTCGGCATCTAGGGAAACAACTAGACCAGGCATTGCTCTTAGATTAAAGAGCTGGATCACGTTGAGCAACCTACGCATGTTATTGAAGGAGCTACGTCCCCTAATGAAGCCAGTTTGATCCTCATTAATAAGTGTTGGGAGTAGGATCTCCAAACGTTTGGCTAATATTTTTGAAAGGATCTTTAAGTCCACATTTAATAAGGAAATTGGCCTGTATGAGGCACAATCTTCAGGTGGTTTATTTTTTTTAAGTATAAGAGATATGATGGCTTCCCTCAATGACATGGGCAGGTGACCTTTTCGAAAAGAGTCGTTAAACATCTGCAGCAGCGGTTCGACTAGTAGGGTGGTAAACTCCTTGTAAAATTCTACAATAAGAAAGTCGGGCCCTGCTGTTTTTCCAGACTGCAGACCTTTAATAGCTTCTGTGACTTCCTTAATGGTTATAGGACTGTCTAATGTTGATTTTTGGATTTCTGTCAGACAAGGAAGGTTAAGGTTGGGAAAAAAGGTGTTCATTAGATCTGTAGTGTCAATAGAGATCTGAGATTTGTAGAGATTCTCATAAAATTCTTTGAAGGTGTTGTTAATATCATTTGAGTCTAAGAGTTGTTTGCCATTCCTGTCGTTAATGAATGCTATATTTTGAGAATCTGATTTCTTTTTGATCAGGTATGACAGATATTTCCCAGGCCTGTCACTGTGTTCATATAGTTTTTGTTTTGCAAATCTTATTTTCTTCTCTGCTTCGTTTGTTAGCAGGCAATTTAGCGCTGAGCGGAGAGTCTGGATTTCTTTGAGTTTCTCCGTGGAGGGTCTAACTTGATAGCCCTGCTCAGCCTTCTTCAATTTGTCTTCCAAAATTAATCTTTGTTCTGCTTGCCTGCGTCTTTTACCATTTGTAAAAGTAGTAATGAGGCCCCTGCAATAAGCTTTGGAAGTCTCCCACAGTAATGATGGATCGTCGGTGGATGCTGCATTAACTGAGAGAAAATGTTTGAATTCCTCTGCAAAATAAGTTTTAAATTTTCCATCATATAAAATAGAGGAGTCAAAGTGCCACCGTCCTGATCGACTGGCCACAGTTCCCATGTTACATTGAATGTATACAGGTGCGTGGTCAGATATTATTATGTTGCCGATTGAGCTAGAAATGACTGAAGGTAGGAACTGCCTGGGGACAGAAAAATAATCAATTCTTGTATAACAGGAATGTACTTTGGAAAAAAATGTGAATTCTTTATCTGTTAAATGTTGCGTTCTCCACACATCAACATATGCCAACTCCTCACACAAAGTCAAAACCAATTGGGCCTGAGATGAAATACGACATTTGCCAGTTGGGGATTTATCAACCAAGGGGGAGAGATGACAGTTAAAATCTCCACCCACAATTGTATTCTTGATGTTCAATTCCACCAGTTTTGTAAAGGCAGATATTAGAAATTTGCCTGGTTGACCAGGGGGAAAATAGACGTTCATAAAGGCTATCTCTTCCCCAAACAGAATACCCTTCACAATAATATATCTCCCACCGGTATCTTTTATGCAATCTACAGGTTTAAATGGGACATTTTTCCGGATCAGAATGATAACACCTCTGCTTCTAGATGTAAAGGAGGAAAAGAAGGCCTGATTAAAAACACCCTGTTGCAATTTTGCATGTTCTTTCGCATCCAAATGGGTTTCCTGTAAAAAAGCTACTTGAACCTGTGCCCTCTCAAGATATGTTAAGACCTTTCTCCGTTTGAGAGGTGTGTGAATGCCATTAACATTCCATGTACAAATATTAAGTTTTGACATAATAACTTTTAGCTATAAAAACAAGGCGCGAGGACTCCAACATAGTTTCTTTGGTATAATGAGGTCGAACATTTTTCTCTCCTCCCTCCCCCTCCATACTTCAAAAAGAGCTGGAATAACATGTAACAAACAGAAAAACTAACTGCCAACAAACATTGCCTAACATTGGCATAACAGATACACTATTTCTCCTCCAAACGGTGAAGAGCGAGTGTGTAGGTCTTCTGACAACAAACAGTCACCTGTTTAGCTAATTCAAGAGCAACAATTCAAAAAAAAAGAAAAAGAAAAGGGGGGCCGGCGCTTGGATAATAAGAACGAATATTTACCCATTTTACAAAAAGTAATATATAACGACAGGCATAATGTCTCTGCATAAGAATACTATTCATCACAATAATATGAGTTCACATAGGTGTATAAAACAGTAAAATGAGGTACCTATATGTCCCATGGCGCTGACAGCGGGGCTTATTTAAGCGTATCCAGGAATCGTTCAACTTCAGCTGGGTTCTGGTACACCCTTGTAGAACCACGGTGAGTGACTTTAAGCTTGGCGGGGTAGATGAGCCTGTAGCTGGCATCCACGGCTTTCAGACGTTTCTTAACGCCATCAAAGCTTTTACGCTTCTGTGCAACAGCCGCTGAGAAGTCCTGAAAGATCATCACAGAGGCACCGTTGTGCTCCAGGGGCTGCCCATTCTTGCCCTTTTCCACAGACGCGCGCATGATCCTCTCCTTGTCGCGGTAGTTGTGCAGCCTGACCAGGACTGGACGCGGTCTTTGGCCAACGGCGGGGACCGGACCCCCGGTGCGATGGGCTCTGTCCACTTTTAACTTCCCGGTTTCCGTTTGGATATTCAGCACTTTTGGGAGCCACTTCTCAAAGAATAAAGCGGGATCATTCACTTCCACGAATTCCGCAGACTCTGGGAGCCCAATTATGCGTAAGTTTCGTCTCCTGCCTCTATTTTCCATGTCATCAATGTGATCCGTGAGCTCTTTCACCCGCCCCTCCAGTGACTTCAGCTTACTAGCGACAGGGGCTGTTTCGTCTTCCAAGGTGGAGATGCGGGATTCTGTCTCCGTGATGCGCTTCTCGTGTTCCTGAAGCTGCTCCCGGTAATTATGCATAAATCTCGATATCGGATCAAGTTGGTCCCTTAATTTGTCTTCGAATACCTTCGTAAGGTTTTCAGTCACCACACGAATCACCTCCTGAAGAGCTGGGTCCATCCTCTCAGAGTTGCAAACTTTTTTGCTAGCCAAACCGCCAGTAGCTTCATTAGCTTCTCCGCTAGCCAAACCGCCAGTAGCCTCATTAGATTCTCCGCTAGCCAAACTGCCAGTAGCTTTATTAGCTTCTCCGCTCGATTCCCCTGTCATCTCCGTCACAACGTTTTTCCTTCGTGGCATGTTCTCAGACGGTCTTAAGAAGTAATCACTAATACTCATTGCAAGTTTAGCCGACGAAGAGAGACTGCCTTGTCGTTTTTTGCAGGGTATAAACTGAAGAAATAAGTAAAAAAAAAGCACCAGCGCCCCTCGTCCCGACTGTCCCTTAAGCCGCCATCTTGAAAAGAGAAACTGTTTTAAAAAGTTCAGTTTTCATTCTTTTCCTGCTTTGTGTGTCAACTGTTACGGTTGCTAAGCGACAGAGCGTGCATCGGTAAAAGCAGCTAAAGGCTGGACCTGTTTGAATTTACAGCCAAAACTCTTCCGGTCTCCTTATTTTCAAGGACCTGAAAGGATCCTGTCCAGGTAGTCCGGATCCTTGGAAGATGCAGGCCATGAATTAGAACACAGCTGCAGAGTGGCAGTCTGTGGGAGTGGGGTTGAACTCAGAACCTCTGGGAGACAAGCTCTATTTCCCAAACAATTAGGCTAGCACTCCCCTTTCATTACAGGCCTCTCCTCTTTTATCTTCTCTTTCTTTAATCTTTTCTCCTTTTTCCTTTTTTCCTTTTCTGTTCTACTTACATTGCAGTGTCCATATAATCTGTAAAACTCCCTGCCTAAATGATAATAAAGCTATTTATATGCATAAATCAAGCAGAACACTATGGCGATAGCCATACTGCTCCACTTTAAAGTAAAATCTGTTGGTCTCTTTTTGGCATCAAGACAATTATTATTATTGCCACATTGGTAGACAGGACGCTGTTTAAATAAATAAATAAATAAAGGAAAAGGAAGAAACGGGCCTGAGCCCATCCACCCAGGCGAGGAGGTCATTAATCAGCTGTAGCTGGCCGCCATAAGACGCATGCCTTTATCAACCAATGAGGAAGATCCAGTCTACCATGGTAACATTTCATGCAGTGGTTCTGTCTCTGGGTCTATTCTCCTCCAATGTTTCAGGTTCTGAGTCTAGCCAACAACCACATTTCATCGCTGCCATCTTCTCTCTCCAACCTGAGCAGACTCAGGAAGCTCAACCTCAGTCACAACCTAATAGCTCATGTTCCAGGCTGTGTCTACAGCATGAAGGCCCTGGTAGGTCCCAATCACTCACAACCAAGCTCCAAACCACAATGATGACAAACACCTGATCCACTGTTCATCTGTGTTTCTAAAGGTGTTTCTGGATCTGTCCTGTAATCATCTGGAGAACCTGGCAGAGAACATTCAGGCTCTGGTGGAGCTCAAGATCCTCATCATGGAGGGAAACATCCTACATTCTCTGCCCAGAGGTCTCTGCTTCCTCACAGGGTAACTCCACCTCATAGGGTACCTCCATCCCACAGGGTACCTCCACCCCACAGGGTACCTCCACCCCACAGGGTAACTCCACCCCACAGGGTACCTCGACCCCACAGGGTACCTCGACCCCACAGGGTACCTCGACCTCACAGCGTACCTCCACCTCACAGGGTGCCTCCACCCCACAGGGTAACTCCACCTCAATGGGTAACTCCATCTCACAGGGTACCTCCATCTCACAGGGTAACTCCACCTCAACGGGTACCTCCACCTCAATGGGTACCTCCATCTCACAGGGTAACTCCACCTCACAGGGTGCCTCCACCCCACAGGGTAACTCCACCTCAATGGGTAACTCTCCCTCACAGGGTAACTCCACCTCAATGGGTAACTCCATCTCACAGGGTAACTCCATCTCACAAGGTAACTCCACCTCACAGGATAACTCCACCTCACAGGGTACCTCCACCCCACAGGGTAACTCCACCTCAATGGGCAACTCTCCCTCACAGGGTAACTCCATCTCAATGGGCAACTCCACCTCAATGGGTAACTCTCCCTCACAGGGTAACTCTCCCTCACAGGGTAACTCCATCTCAATGGGCAACTCCACCTCAATGGGCAACTCCACCTCACAGGGTAACTCCACCTCAATGGGCAACTCCACCTCAATGGGCAACTCCACCTCAATGGGCAACTCCACCTCACAGGGTAACTCCACCTCAATGGGCAACTCCACCTCAATGGGCAACTCCACCTCAATGGGCAACTCCACCTCAATGGGCAACTCCACCTCAATGGGCAACTCCACCTCAATGGGCAACTCCACCTCAATGGGCAACTCCACCTCAATGGGCAACTCCACCTCAATGGGCAACTCCACCTCAATGGGCAACTCCACCTCAATGGGCAACTCCACCTCACAGGGTAACTCCACCTCAATGGGCAACTCCACCTCAATGGGCAACTCCACCTCAATGGGCAACTCCACCTCACAGGGTAACTCCACCTCACAGGGTAACTCCACCTCAATGGGCAACTCCACCTCAATGGGCAACTCCACCTCAATGGGCAACTCCACCTCAATGGGCAACTCCACCTCAATGGGCAACTCCACCTCACCGGATAACTCCACCTCACCGGATAACTCCACCTCACCGGATAACTCCACCTCACCGGATAACTCCACCTCACCGGATAACTCCACCTCACCGGATAACTCCACCTCACCGGATAACTCCACCTCACCGGATAACTCCACCTCACCGGATAACTCCACCTCACCGGATAACTCCACTTCACAGCGTACCTCCATCTCACAGCGTACCTCCATCTCACAGCGTAACTCCACCTCACAGGGTAACTCCACCTCACAGGGTAACTCCACCTCACAGGGTAACTCCACCTCACAGGGTAACTCCACCTCACCGGATAACTCCACTTCACAGCGTACCTCCATCTCACAGGGTAACTCCACCTCACAGCGTACCTCCACCTCACAGCGTACCTCCACCTCAATGGGTAACTCCACCTCAATGGGTAACTCCACCTCAATGGGTAACTCCACCTCAATGGGTAACTCCACCTCAATGGGTAACTCCACCTCAATGGGTAACTCCACCTCAATGGGTAACTCCACCTCAATGGGTAACTCCACCCCACAGGGTAACTCCACCTTACTGGGTACCTCCACCTCACTCGGTAACTCCACCTCACTGGGTAACTCTCCCTCACTGGGCACCTCCACCCCACAGGGTAACTCCACCCCACGTGGTAACTCACAGGGTAAGCCCAGCTCACAGAGAACCTCCACCTGAGCAGATGTGCTGTGGAACAGGTCATTGCCAGAGAGATCAGAGATGCAGATGAATTACCTTTTCTTCGAACATATATCTATAAATGATTATTTAAAGATATCCCTCCCATAGGTATGAGTAAAAACTAACAAACCTAAATCCTTTTTATTTCCTGCAGGCTGGAGCTGCTGAATCTGGACTTCAACGACATAAAAGACGTTCCTCAGGTAAACCTATGAAGGATTAAGCTAATAATAGTGTAGCGGCGGGACGAAGAGGTGCATTATGGGGCACTGTTTTGGTTTGTTTGGTTGTTCATTTCCTTGTCATTCTGTTTGGTTGTTGCTCATGTTGTTCATTGTTTGCATTTGCCTCAGTTCATGATGTTGTGGGTGTGTGTGTTGAGAGCAGAGTTTCACCCTGAGTGCTAAGGCTGTTGTTTTTACTCAAGTGTGTGCCGCATCCCTAGAGATGTTGGAGGAATAAACACTGTTAAAAAGCAATCAACTGAGCCTGATTTTTTGTAACACTCACTGGCGTTACAATAGTTAGCATGTTAATGATGAGAATGTTCATGTGTTCAGGAGATGCACCGGCTGTCCCGCCTGGAGAAGCTCGCCTGCCATCCGCTGGATAAAGGACTCCACATCATCCACAACCCACTGCTGAAACCTCTGAAGGAGGTTATGGAGGGGGGGCTGAGCGCCCTCTTTAGCTACCTGAAAGCCGGTGGTGAATAGGATGGGGACAATTCTACCTGGGATCAAATGGGGGGGTCTGTCACTGAATGACTTGTCTCAGAACCATGATTATTCCTTTCAGCAACAGTTTTGCAGATCACAGTTGAACGTTATTACCTCCATGAATGATAAAACCTGTTAAACTACATCCTGTAAAATGTTTATAATATATTGCAAATAAAATGCCAGCTGTATCGTTATTAAAGGTATAGTAGTTCTGGATATTCAGCTAAACTTGTTAACTTCTAAAGACCGTTTGCTGCACCTTTCAGACATAATGAAAGTACAGGGGGATGTGAGAGTATATTTTTCCGTATCCTGTTTGTAATGTGTTCAAAGAGTGCCCTTTCTCTGTCTAAATATGGGTGATTATTAAGAAGCCTTGTTCCAGTCTCTGCTGGAATGTAGGACGTTGTAGCAGGGGCGCTAACCCTAAACCCTCTCTACTCTAGACAAAGATTAAAATGTCCTTACTGTGTTCAAGGTTCTCACATCCCCTTTCTGGTGTGAGCGGAAAACAGTCGTCTGAAATGTTTGTCTGGCTAAATTTATGTCTTTGATTAATTTAGTTGTTTTCCTGCTTTTGTTTAAGTGTTTGAGAAAGTGAGTGTTTTGGTATAAATGTCTGTGCTTAGGATGGTTAAGTCAGAGCTTTTATGTACTCTTTGTCCAAAGGACGTTAAATAAAAGTGAATATTATGCAAGAAATGCTTCCAGACTTAGTTTCCTAACTTCACAGAGGGAGGTAAAGCTAATGGCTAAACGTGAAGCTAACAATATATAAACAAAAAGGCTTGATCTGGAACTACTTTAAATCCGTATGATCATTTAAGCATGTGTTGTCGCCATAATAAGTGCTATATAAACAGTTCTGATGTCATGGTTTTGGTTCTGTTCAAGTTTTATCTCTGAGTTTTCATTGGTTTTATTTCTATACTGTGTTATTCTAGTTATTTTTTACTGTATTTGAGTTCTTTGGTATTTCTTCTTTACCCTCTGTTGCCCTCTTGTGTCAGTCTTCTTCTCCTAGCTCCCTTCTAGACTCCTCTGTACACACCTGCTCCCAATCTGCTGATTAGCCTGCTCTTTGCCAAACATTCTCCTCCTGCTCAGTCACTGGTTCATCATTTTTTTGCCCCTTTGTTGTGAGGATTCCTGGTTCTCAGTATTTGTGGATTTTGGAAAGTGGGGAAATTTTGAATAGCTACTTCTGTAGATGACGTTCTACTGTTGAATGTTGGAAGGAGCTAGGAACCGAAGGTAGGAGCTACAATTTAAGGGTTATTTAAGGTATCTGGATTGTGATAGAACATGAGCTCAAACTCACTGACTGACTTAAGTTGAGCTCATCAATAAGATTACATCACATCTTCAAGGGCAACCAAGACATTAATACATCTAATTTATACTGCACAAGCTGTTTTTAGAGGAGAGAAAAACATCTAAAGGGGACCAAAAGGTTTGCTAAAAAAGAAATGTTTTTTTTTTTTTAACAGTGTCCTGTCTGGCAATGTGGCAATAAGAATAATTGTCTTGATGCCAAAAAGAGCACAACAGATTTTATTTTCACAAGTGGAGCAGTACGGCTATCACCATAGTGCTCCGCCTGTTTCATGCATTTAAATAGCCTTATTATAATTATGCAGGGAGTTTAATAGATTATATGGAAACCGGGGAACCCAAAGCCCCAGACACCCGAAGGGACCCCAAGAACAAAGGCACCCAGGAGGGGCCAGCCCAGGAATTCCGACTCCCACCAAGGGAGGAGGAGAGCCGGCCCCAAGAGGAACTTTTACTCTATTTCTATTAACTTTGGAAAACTGCCTGATGAATTTTCATCAATGAAACATATTTATGGAAGATATTTATGAGTCACACATTTAAAGACTTATGACAGCAGTTTCATGTAAACAACCGTATTTTTCGGACTATACGTCGCTCCGGAGTTTAAGTTACATCAGCCTTCTTCTTTCTTTCTGAAGAAAAAAAAAATATACGTCGCACCGGACTAAAAGTCTCAACTTTTTGAAAGGCTTTTCTATCCATGGAATCCGTGTTCTGATAACTGTCACATGGTAGGCTACTGCTTGAAGAACGCATTGTCTTATTTCATGAACAAGCATCTGAGAATCAGTGATCATCATTCAGAACAATGTCAAGACCACAACACTAGAGACGAACAATAAAGTTTATCTTGAAAGAAGAAATAGGTCTATTTTTAAAATGCAAAACATTGTCATTGTTGTAATGCTAATCTGTTTTGTTGTGGTAAGTTGTAACATTTTTTTCTTTCAGTGGTATAAATAGAATACATGTTGTTGTGTGCAAAGCTACATAGTGCCCTCTCATGGTGAAAGAAACATGTATATGTCACCAGAATCTCATAGCCAGCAAAACCTTGAAAAGTGCTACTTATAGTCCCAAAAAGACGGTAGAAGCATCTGTCTGATGACAATAAAAGAGCAACGAAATTCCCTCTCTGCATTTCACCCCCCACCCCTTGAGGAGCAGTGGGCTGCCATTGTGCGGCACCCAGGGAGCAGTGTGGGGTCAAGGGTCTTGCTCAGGGACCCAGAGTGGCAGTCTGTGGGAGTGGGTGGAACTTGAATTCAGAACCTCCGGGACCCAAGCCAATGCTCTAACCGCTAGGCTCCCTAGACTTATTCCTGCTGCCTTACTATCATCTCCAACCAGCCTGGCCATTCTACTCCAGCATCAATTTGCCCCCACAGAGCTGCTGCTCACTGAATATTATCCCTATTTCGGACCATCCTCTGTAAACCATAGAGATGGTTGAACATAAAAATTTGATGCTTGGTTTGAACTTCAGCAGATTGTCTTCACCATGTCTACAAGTTTAAATATATTCAAGGTCCTCCCTTCCTGACTTTTCCTACCCCCCATGCAACCCAGTAGATGTGTCAGCCATGACAGTCCATCATGGTCCATAGCCTGCATAATGGTTGGCTGAATCTCTGCCATTGTGATGGACTTGACTTCTCTAAGTTAGACTGTAAATCCTCTGTGGAGGACATGGGCAGCCGATGAAAGAGATCCTTTAGATAAGTCTGTCACAGCATGATGATACCCCCTGTCCAGGATGCTTTCCTCCTGCCCTAGAACCCAACTGATTGAGATGGTCACTAAACAGTTTTCCTAAACTTCCTTGAGGATAGCCAAACGACCTTCTCCATAGCCTTCCTGAATCATTAGTTGTTGCTTCTGCTCAACAACCTGCAGTCCCTTTTCCACCTAATCCTTGCCAGGCACTTCAGGAGGACCTAGAACCAACCAAACTCTGAACTCCTTCTTCAGCTTTGGGACTTCTACCACCCAATGGTCTCCAACAAAAGGTCTACTGGTTCATCTGCAGCCTTGAGGCTAAGACTTCTGCTCCCAGTTTGCCCTCATGGTGTAGCAGGTGTGTCCAGCAGTGAATCCAGCTCCCTGCCAGATGTTTACGATTTGCTGATCTTTTCACCAAGCAGTTGAGGAATATATGCTGCCGGTGTAATAAGAAAAGTTTTACCCCTAACCTAATCTGTCATGATGGGTTTTAGATGTTTTGCCCAAATGCAGAAACAAACTCAGAGGCAGGGAAAAAGTTTAACAGTTTATTGATGGAGAGTGGCACTCAGAGAGGCAAAAACACAGGATTCTCAGTGGGGGGAATATCCAGCAGGCTGGTAAACCGGAAACTCTAGAGGGAGATCAGAGTGGTGAGTTCACGGTCCATGGCATTTACAGGCCACAACTGAAAATAGCCAGTTAAGGAACTCACAGTTGTTGTCTTGTGGTTGCTCCTTGGTTCCTGTTTGCGGGGGTAGTTTGGATAAGGCTGTTACTTGTTGGAGGGCGGACAGGCAGACTTGTTAGGGTCCAGAAGAGCAGCGGAGGGGACAGTTAATGAGCATTCATGAAGGGGACTGCAAACAGAAGCAGTGAATGATTTCCTGAATCTCAGAGAGATGAATGGGTTCCTTCCACAGCTAGAAGAACCAGGCTTATGCAGTGGACCAGGAGATAATCCTGCCAGAATGTTTGCCAGTATTGGGTACTCTAGCCCCTAGCTCTTAGGGGCTAGAGTACCCTCCAGGCCAACAAGGGAAAGGGCACCATCTAGGGGATGGATGGAGACACTAAAAAAGGAAACACAAAAACATTCCCCACAAACAGAACCCTAACATAACCCTGAAGTGGCCCAGGGAAGGTACAGACTTCCTCCCTTGATATCAGGAATGTCATTCCTCCTGATCTGTCCTGTCAATATTTGCTCACACAGACAGACCCAGGCTGCAGCGCCTCAGACTGGAAGAAGGTGAAGAGAGTGGTGAGAACAGCAGAGAGGATCATGGGGACTCCCGTCCAGGAAACACACAGCCAGGCAGACGAGCTCCGAGCCAGCTCCCATGTCAGAGGATGAAGAGAGCACATCCAGTTAGTCACAGTCAGAGAAACAGGACTACACTGGAAAACAGGCCAAGCTCCAACATCTAGAAACGAAGGTGTTGATGGCAGCAGCACAGCTGATATTTCTCTCCAGGATGGAGTCACAGCCAAACAGGAACAGACCAGATGAAGCTACTATGAGAAAAAGCAGAGAGAGCAGAACGTTAGAGATTGAACTAACAGATTCTGCAGAGTGGGAGAATAGAGATAGAATGAAGCAGAATGATGAAAAAGGGGTCCCTATGTCCTCCAGCAGTCTAAGCCTATAGCAGCAGAACTATAGAGATAGCTCAGCATAACCTGAGCCACTCTAACTAGAAGCTTTATCAAAAAGGAAAGGTTTAAGCCTAGCCTTAAAAGTAGACAGGGTGTCTGCCTCACGGACTAAAACTGGTAGTTGGTTCCACAGGAAAGGAGCCTGAGAACTAAAAGATCTGCCTCCCATTCTACTTTTAGAAATTCTAGGAACCACTAGTAAACCTGCAGATTGAGAGCGAAGTGCTCTGTTAGGAACATAAGGAACAATCAGATCTCTGATATAAGATGGTGCTTGGCCATTTAAGGCTTTATATGTGAGAAGGAGGATTTTAAATTCTATTCTTGATTTAACAGGAAGCCAATGAAGAGAAGCCAGGATAGGAGAGATATGATCTCTCTTTTTCATTTTCATCAGAACTCTGGCTGCAGCATTTTGGATCAGCTGAAGGCTTTTAACTACAGTTTGTGGACTTCCTGATAGTAAAGAATTACAATAGTCCAGCCTTGAAGTAACAAATGCATGGACTAGTTTCTCAGCATCACCCCTGGACAGGAGATTGCTCATTTTTGCAATATCCCTCAGATGAAAGAAGGAAATTCTAGAAACCTCTTTGATCTGGGATTTAAATGACAGGTCCTGATCAAAAATAACACCAAGATTTTTTACTTTATTATCTGAAATCAGTTTAATCCCATCCAAATGAAGTGACTGACTAATCAGCTTCTTTTTCAGAGACTCTGGTCCAAAGACTATAACTTCTGTTTTGTCTGCATTCAGAAGCAGAAAGTTAAGAGTCATCCAGGTTTTTATGTCTTCAGACATGCCTGTAATCTATGTAATGGGTTAGCTTCATCTGGATTATAGACAGATATAGCTGGGTATCATCAGCATAACAGTGGAAATTAATCCCATGCTGTCTAATAATTCTACCGATTGGGAGCATGTATAAAGTAAAGAGAATTGGTCCTAGCACTGATCCCTGTGGTACTCCACAGGTAACCTTTGAGCGTGTTGAAGATCTATCATTAACATGAACAAACTGAATTCGATCAGATAGATCAGATTTAAACCAGTCTAGTGCTGTTCCTTTAATTCCAACAAAATATTCAAGTCTTTCTAAAAGAATATTATGGTCAACTGGATCAAATGCAGCACTGAGATCCAACAGGACGAGCACAGATACAAGTCCATTATCTGAGGCCATGAGAATATCATTAGTGACTTTCACCAGAGCTGTTTCAGTGCTATGATGAGCTCTAAAGCCAGACTGAAACTCTTCAAAAAGTTCATCATGGTGTAATTTTCAGATCAACGCATTTTTTCATCATGTTTTTTGATCACTTTACGGACTGAAAATGTTCATGTTGCTGCTAAGCTGCTGCTCATTCACTCTCTGTACAAAATTAAACGTCATTTTGTATAAACCCTGTGTACAAAAAATGACAATAAAACTTTTCTAAGTCAGAGTCATCGAAGCACTTAATGGAGAACAGTCCATTCCTCAGATGGCACCCTGCCTGAGGTGCTTAGTCAGGGGGGTTGAGTATCCCTCCATGCCTTTCTCCTTCAGCATATCTAATGAAGGAGAAAGACCAGCCTCTCTCCAGGAGGGGGGGTTACATAGTCCAACCCCAACTTAGTCTAATATCAGGTCAGTACTGTTCAACCTCTCACAGCAAAGCTGGATCCTTCCTGCTTCCTAAAGTGATCTCCATGTCAAAGATGAACCTGGCCTCCTGTGAACTGCTTCTTCAGGCACCTGGCTACCCTGGCTCTACTATTCTAGACCAGGTTCCCCCGATAAAGCACCCACCTTACATGAGGACCTTTGAATGGCTGTCAGTTTTACGGCTCTCTGCCAGGGGCCCTACTAGGGGCCATGGGCTTGGATCACTTTGTCTCCAGGATTAGTCTTCTTCAAACCCTTAGACATTTTACCTGGAGTAGCGGGGCCCCCCAAGGCCACGTTCTGTCTCCCTTCCTCTTCACCCTTTGCACCTTGAACTTCATCTCCAACACGTTCAGCTGCCATCTCCAGAAGTTCTACAATGACGCGGCCATTGAACGAGCTGGAGTATTGATCAGTCATCATGAACTTTGTGGACTGGTGAGAGAAGAACCACCTGCGTCTGAACACCAGTAAGACCAAGGAGATGGTGATGGACTTCACCTCACTCACCCACCTCACTCCCCCATGAACATCCAGGGGCAGGACATAGAAACTGTGGAGAGTTTCAAATCCCTGGGTCTTTACGTCAATAATAAACTGGACTCATAACAACAATGCCCTTTAAAGAAGGGCCAGAGCCGCCTCCCTCCACCTCCTGAGGAGGCTGAGCTCCTCTGCAGTGAGCAGGCTCCTGCTTCAAACCTTCTCTGACTCTGTGAAGGCCTCAGCCCTCCTCTACGCTGTCGTCTGCTGGTCCCCTGACAGCGCAGAGCGGGACACAAAGAGACTGAACAAACTGGCCGGTTCTGTCCTAGGCGGCACTCTGGACTCAGTGGCTGAGAGGAGGGAGCTGTCCAAGCTTCCATCCATCATGGACGCCACCTTCCACCCAAAGGTTCATTAAATACTCCTGTAAACACCCTGTGCAATAACCCTGTAAAGTAATCCAGCTTTTAAAAACACAGCTGTGGACACACTGTATATATCCCATCATGCACCTTCTTCTCCTTTAACTATTTGAGCTGATGGAACAATTGACATTCCTCCACTGTGAGATCAATCAACCAATCAATCAACCAATCAATCAATCAAGGAGGTAAATCAATTCCCCTCGTTTATATGATATTTATCATCTTAAGTCCATTTTTCATCAGAACATCTGGTTTAAGAAGGCACATTTTTTTAAATGTTATCAGGTTCTGCTGGAAAACATAATATCATGAAACAAAACTTCATTTTAAACCTGGATTAATTAACATGATATAGCATTTTGCTATGTAATATATATTGTATGCTTTATATTGTATATAGCTATAGTCTATATTGTGTCTACACGATCAACAGCAAGTTAAATTCCCTCTGAGTTCATTAAATGTGATTCTGATGACTGAAATCAGGAAGTGATTTCTTTCTGTCCAGCAGGGGGCGGTGAAGCACTAGAAGCTCTGAAAGGAGATTCTTTGTTTTGTTTTCTTCTCTGGAAGCAACTAAGGAACAGTTTTATTCTCTTCACATGTAAAGCTCACTGGAGAAAAGCGCAAACACAGAGGAACGGCGCCATGATGGCTTCCTGTAGCGTTTACAAGCCTGGTCACATGACCAGCTCTGTTAGAATCAACTTTATTGATCTCAGATTGGAGAAACTCCCTCTCTGCATTTAACCCCTCCCCTCGGGGAGCAGTGTGGGGTTAAGGGTCTTGCTCAGGGACCCAGATGCCAGTCTGTGGGAGTGGAACTCAGAACCTCAGGACCACTAGGCCCCCCTTCCCTGTTCACTGTTCGGCAGAGAACCGGAGCTCACAGTAACCTCTTCTCTCCAGCAGGGGGCAGCAAGTAGCTCCGCTTCAAAATCACTAAACCGCACTGCAAAAAAAATCTGTCTAAATGAGTCATTTTTCTTAAAATAAGCGTTTTGTTCTTGAATTTAGGAGCTAAGTGAGAAACTCTGCAGATGGAACAAGACAATTTATAGTTGAAATAAGAAAAAATAATTAGATTGTCTTATTTTAATTGCATTTTATCTAATTATCTTATTTGAAGAATAAAACTACTCATTTTATTGGCAGATCATCTTCTTTACCTGCTCAGATTAAACTTATTTTAAGACATTTTGACTTATTTCCAGATGTTTTTGGCAGTAAAGATCCTCAGCATCTCATTGATCTCACTCAGCATTTTAATTCTATTTAGAAAAATCAGAAATGAGTGAATTTAAAACATTTTTGCTGAATGGAAGAAGATTTATTTCATGTTTTAGGACATAAAAAAGAAACATTTCTGTTTATAAACAACTAAAACTGGAACCAAACATCTGATCAGATCAGAAATTTGATCATTTTTCACCAAAGCAGATCAAACGGTGCCGCCTTATTCAACATTTTATGGATAATAAATTAATTAATTATTAAATCAGTTAAAGTTCAGAGGAACGCTGACCCCCCCCCCCTCTCTCCCTCTCTCTGACTCTCTTTCGGTGTCTCTCGACCCCCGTGACGTCACAAGCTACTCGGTACACCCTCTCCGTGTCTCGCGCTCCCTGTCTGTCTGTCTCCTTCGCAGAAACAAGCCGGAGGATCAAAGCACCGAACTCACCTGTCCGCGCTCACCTGGCCGCGCGCCGCAGTCCCTCAGTGCGCGTGTTAGAGCCCCAGAGGAGTCCGGGGGGAGGAAGAGGAGGAGGAGGAAGAGGAGGAGGAGGAGGAAAGAGGCTCGGAGTTCTCAGGAGTTTTTTTCCCCAACATGGAGCGGACTGGAAGTTTGCTGCTGGCCGCCGCTCTGCTGCTGGTTTCACTGGGAGCTCTGGGGACACGAGGAGACACCTTCAAAGGTAAGCGGACCGCGGGGTGGGTGGGGGGTGGGGGGTTCTGGAGAGGCTAAGAACCGGAGAAGGGGTGGGGGGGGTCGTCTTCAGTGTTGGCATCCAAGTTTCCAGCTGGAAAATCTCCTCCTCTTCTGCTCCTCTTCCTCATTCCGGAGGGTTAGGGTTGAGTTCTGGAGGTTCTGGAGGTTCCTGAGCTTGCGGAGGTTCTGAAGGTTCTGGAGGTTCCTGAGCTTGCGGAGGTTCTGAAGGTTCTGGAGGTTCCTGAGCTTGCGGAGGTTCTGAAGGTTCTGGAGGTTCCATCTGAGCCAGAAAGGGAATCTCAGACTTGGAGCTTGAAGGTTCCCTCGGTTCGGGTTCTGGTCTCCTTCTGCCAGAGGAGAACGTCTCAGAGTCCAGAGGTTCTGGATCGTCAGAGTCTCCTCGGTTCCGATCCACAGTGGATTTCTGGATCAGAACCAAAGCTGATTTTGGACCCCCACCACATGTGATCAGTAGAATCCAGCAGAACCAGGAGCTGCTGGGCCATCCTCTCTGTTGCAGCAGAACTCTGGGTTTGGTTCTGCTGCAGGGACCGGAAAACAGTTCTGGTCCAAAAGAAAACCTTCAGAGTTCTGGTTCCCCCTCAGGTCAGTTCTGGTACCTTTCTGAGCCAGCCTCAGTTCTCTTAATGGTGGGTTGTGTCTCTAATTGCAGCTCTAGTTTCTGTTTTTCTACCTGATCTTTGTAGATATTCTGAGCTCGGTTCTGGTTCTTTAAAGGTTCTGGTTCCTGAATATTTCAGTAGAAAAGCTGCAGGCTTTAAACTTCCGACATTTGCCCAACTGGACCGAAGCCCTCGTGTCACCGCCGCAATGAGGAGCTCCAGGAGCGTCCTCATCATCATCATCTTCATCGTCGTCATGAAGAAGGAACAATGCGGGGGGTGGGGGTGCTCAGTGCCTGCAGCCTTTCACTGGTTCTGCTTCAGGTTCTGTTTGTTCCAGCGGAGCCTCGGGCCGAGGATGATCAGGATGATTCTGCTTTTAACGACGGCTGTTAGACTTGCTGGAACCAGACTGCATGAAAGAAAGATGTGATCAGAACCTCCTGAGATCCAGATGTTTTCATGCTACAGTAGCTCTGGTCATTGAACATTTATCTTGGGTTTATATCCTCAGGGCCCGATTTTTGCACTCAGTGTCAGGTTTAGGTCGCTGTGGTCCGACTTTGGACCCAATGTTGGGTTTAGACTGCTGTGGTCTGACTTTGGACCCAATGTCAAATTTATACTGTCAAGGGCCGACTCTGGACCTGATGTTGGGTTTAGACTGCTGATGTCCGAATTTGGAGATGATTTGGGGTTTAGATTGCTAAGGTCAGACTTTGGACCCAATGTCGGGTTTAGACTATTGAGGTCCTACTTTGAACCCAATGTCCGGTTTAGACCTCTGATGTCCGAATTTGGACACAGTGTCGGGTTTATACTGCAGAGTTCCAACTTTGGACCCAATGTCTGGTTTAGACTGTCAAGGTCCGACTTTGGACCCAATGTCAAATTTATACTGTCGAGGTCCGACTCTGGACCAAATGTTGGTTTTAGACCGCTAAGGTCCGACTTTGGATCCAATGTCTGGTTTAGACCATTGATGTCCGAATTTGGACACAATGTCGGGTTTATACCGTCGAAGTCCAGCTTTGGACCTAATGTCGGGTTTAGACTGCTGTGGTCCACCTTGGGACCCAATGTCGGGTTTAGACTGCTGATGTCCGAATTTGGACCCAATGTCTGGTTTATACCGTCAGAGTCTGGCTTTGGACCCAATGTCTGGTTTAGACTGCTGATGTCCGAATTTGGACCCAATGTCGGGTTTAGACTGCTGAGGCCTGACTTTGGACCCAATGTCGGTTTTAGACTGTTGAGGTCCGATTTTGGCCTAGATTTCAGGTTTATACCGTTGAGGTATGACATTAGACCAGATCTCGGGTTTATACCGTTGAAGTTTGACTTTGGACCTGATGTCGGGTTTAGACCGTTGAAGTTTGACTTTGGACCTGATGTCGGGTTTAGACCGTTGAGGCCTGACTTTTGACCAGATCTTGAAGGTGCGAATAGTGAGTTTGCCCGGTCGCCGTGGGTAACGGCTGATTTTCCTCTCTGTTTGGATCTGTTCTGTTCCACCATCACATCTGAGATGATTTTCCTCCATGATGCTTCTGGTTTATGGAACAGCCAGTCGGCTATTTGCAGCTCCTACAGATTTACTCAATTATTTAATAAACAGAAATAAATAACCTCAGATAAAGTATAATATATATAACACTAAGCCCAGACCTTAATTAACTGTTATATATTTATAACATATATCTAATAATGAAAGTTTGATTTATTGATTCATCACTTGGTTAAACGGTCATTAGGAATCAGGATGTGGATTCAATAACAAATATATCCATAATAACACATTTAGAGAGAGATTTAAAGTAGATTTTGGTTTTTACCATTTATTTACATCTGGTCTCTAAACAGTTAAAGGAGAACGCTGTTTTTTTTTTTTCCATTGTTTCCTTGATTTTCCGTTATTCCATCATGTTCTACTCTCCCATCTGAGTTTAGTGTCATTTGGAGCCGTTCTGAAGATATTCCGTTAGGTTATATCCAGTAACGTCTTCCTATGGGCAACGACTTGAAGGCACAAACTAAACTGTTCATCATTTATTCTTTATGGTACGCCAGCATCCAGAACATGGAGGCCAATCACTGTCCCCCAGACATCCATAGTTAGATTCTTTATATTTATATCTTTTAAAAACAAAGCGGCGTGTGTATGACATCATCAGCGTGCGCCGGCTACCGTTCCTCCATCCTGTCCGCTGAGCTGCTGCTAGTTTTCCTCTCATGCCTGGAAGACGTCTAGAGCTGCTACCACAGATGATCTCGCTCTCCAGATGAACCATTCAGATTAGCTCGCCAAATGAAGCGTAGCTTCCTGGTGTAATGTACATTGGTTAAATAAAGTTTTTTTCTTTAAAAAAAAAAAAAAAAACTCCTGTCCAGTGGGCGGGGCTAACACTGATTCTGTTGAGGTGATTTCCAGAATGATCAGCCAATCAGAGATCAGAGTTTTCATGGTCCCGCCTCCTTGGACTTAGTCTAACTGTTCCCCGGCCGTTTTTATTTAAAATATTTTTATTGTTAGTTTATTTTCCTCTCTTCTGTTCTTTTACTGTTCAATTGTTCCTTTGTTTACTACAATTAATTTAATTTCTATAGCTCTAATCCGCATCAGGTCACTTTATAGAGACACGCTTAATATTATCAACGTTCCGATGGCATTTTAGCCAAAGGACTTCTGATCAAAAACATGGTTAATGGGCAGAAAAAGGAATAGTTCTATTAACCATACATGGAAACAGAGTTTTATGGGGCCCCCAGGAACCTGGGGCCCTAAGCATCTGCCTATTATTGCCTAATGGTAAATCCCCCCCCTCCAGGTAGATGGAGGGCTAACTTAGATGCTGAAAGGTTGTAGGCCGTTGGTCTAAAGCAGTACCATACCATACCATACCAACTTTATTTATGAAGCACTTTATACACCGAACAGGACCAAAGTGCTGTACACAATCATAAAATACAATAAAATTATAAAATAGAGAAAAAACGAGTGTAAAATACATATTAGTATACAAAAAGAATAAAACAAAGTAAAACGTCTCAAATTGTGTCAAAAGCCAAGGAAAAAAGATGAGTCTTAAGAAGGGACTTAAAAGCAGTAAGAGAAGAGGCCTGTCTTCAGCTCAGAGGCAGATCGTTCCACAGCTTAGGAGCTGCCACAGAAAAAGCTCGGTCTCCTCTGAGCTGCATTTTGTCTTTGGGACCCTCAGAAGCAACTGATCAGCTGACCTGAGGGAACGGGAGGGTGTGTAAGAATGTAACAGCTCAGACAGATAAGAAGGAGCAAGGCCATTAAGAGTTTTAAAAACAAATAAAAGAATTTTAAAATTAATCCTAAAATGTACTGGCAGCCAGTGTAAGGAAGCTAAAACAGGGGAAATGTGGTCGAATTTTCGTGTACCTGTTAAAAGACGTGCAGCAGCATTTTGAACCCTCTGAAGATGAGAAATATACAAGTCGCTGACCCCTATATAAAGTGAGTTACAGTAATCCAGCCGTGTCGTCACAAATGCATGGATCACTGTTTCGAAATGCTGTCTGGAAAGAATAGGTTTTACTTTTGCTAGCTGCCTTAAGTGGAAAAAGCTGGACTTTATACCGGCTCTGATGTGCGCTTCCATTTTAAGACCAGCATCCATCTTAACCCCTAAATTTGTAATAACCGGCTTAACGTACTGAGCCAAGGAGCCAAGACTAGTCACGGAATCAGCAGTGGATCTGCCAAAGATCATTACGTCCGTCTTGTCCTCATTGAGTTTTAAAAAATTTAGGGCCACCCAGGCCTTCACATCTTCAAGACATAAAAACAGAGACCGAAGAGAGGTGGAGTATATATTCTTTAGCGGTAAGTATATCTGTGTGTCATCTGCATAGCAGTGAAAGGCAATCCCATGTTTTCTTAAAATAGAGCCGAGCGGAAGAAGGTAAAGTGAGAAAAGGAGCGGGCCTAGAACTGAGCCCTGTGGGACACCACACGACAGTGGAGCAGAGGGGGACCTATGGCCATCAAGACAGACACAAAAAGTACGTTCAGCCAAATATGATCTAAACCAATCTAGAGCTATGTGACCGACGCCCACCCACTGTTCCAGACGGGAAAGTAAAATGACATCATCAACTGTATCAAAAGCAGATGATAAATCCAACAGCACCAAAACAACAACGTCACCTGAATCAGTTGCTAAAAGTATATCATTAAAAACTTTTAAAAGGGCTGACTCTGTGCTATGAAATGGTTTAAAACCGGACTGAAAAACCTCTAATACATTATGTTCATTAAGATAGGCCATTAGCTGATTACAGACTACCTTCTCAAGAATTTTTGAAATAAAAGGCAATTTAGAGATAGGTCGATAATTTGCCAGAACAGTAGGATCCAAAGCTGGTTTCTTAAGTAGAGGCTGCAGAACTGCATGCTTCAGAGCGTTAGGAACAATGCCTGAGGACAAGCTACTATTTACAAGAGCAAGGACAGAAGGACCTATAGCAGAGAAAGCTTCTTTAAATAATTGGGGCGAAATAACATCATTTGGAGAACCAGTTGGCCTTAAGTGATTAACCACCTCCTGCAATAATTGCAAGTTCACACATTCAAAGCTGTGGAAAACACCAGAACAAGGCACCACAACTGAAGGATCATAAGAAGAGGGGATAATCTGGGCCCTAATAGAAGCATCTTTCTTATCAAAAAAGTGTAAGAAGTTTTCACATGCAGCAGGTGAGGTCTCCATAAAGCCACTATGTGAATCATTTAGAACAGAGTTAATAATTTTAAATAGGATAGCAGGATTCTGACTATTTGATACAATCAAACCCGACAGGTATTTTCTTTGGCTGCCTTTTGCAATCCTTTGATAACAGCGCCAACATTCCTTTAATGTTTGGAGAGACACCTGTAATTTGTCCTTTCTCCATTTGCGTTCTGCTCTGCGGCAGTCTCTCCTGGCAGCCCGAGTGACCTCATTTAACCAGGGTTCATGCTTGGATTTTGGAAATCTAATTTTTAGAGGTGCCACCAAATCCAAGGCTGCTTTACTGGTAGAATAAAACCAGTTGCTGAGTTCCTCAGTGTTATTTCCCACAATTCAATTCAATTCAATTCAGTTTATTTATATAGCGCCAAATTCACAACACATGTCATCTCAAGGCACTTTACAGTTCAACCAGATCATACAGTCAAATTGATACAAAGTTTTCTATCTAAGGAAAACCAGCTGATTGCATCGACTCATTGACTCTTCAGCAATCCCCCACACTAAGCATGCTTGTAGCGACAGTGGAGAGGAAAAACTCCCTTTTAGCAGGAAGAAACCTCCAGCAGAACCAGGCTCAGTGTGAGCGGCCATCTGCTGAGGCCCACTGGGGTTCAAGGAGACAGAAGCAGAGATACAAAAAGCAGCTGTAAAAGGCGGCCCCTCCAGGAAACACACAGCCAGGCAGACGAGCTCCAAGGCAGCTCCCATGCCAGAGGACGAAGAGAGCACATCCACTCAGTCACGGTCAGAGAAACAGGACCACACTGGAAAACAGGCCGATCTCCAACATCTATAAACAAGGGTGTTGATGGCAGCAGCACAGCTGATGTTTTTTTCCAGGATGACGTCACAGCCAAACAGGAACAGATGAGGCAAAGCTACTCTGAGGAAAAGCAGAGAGAGCAGAAGGTTAGAGATTGAACTAACAGATTCTGCAGAATAGGAGAACAGAGAGAGAATGAAGCAGAATGATGAAATGGGGGTCCCTATGTCCTCCAGCAGTCTAAGCCTATAGCAGCATAACTATAGAGATAGATCAGGATAACCTGAGCCACCCTAACTATAAGCTTTATCAAAAAGGAAAGTTTTAAGCCTAGCCTTAAAAGTAGACAGGGTGTCTGCCTCACGGACTAAAACTGGTAGTTGGTTCCACAGGAGAGGAGCCTGAGAACTAAAAGATCTGCCTCCCATTCTACTTTTAGAAGTTCTAGGAACCACTAGTAAACCTGCAGATTGAGAGCGAAGTGCTCTGTTAGGAACATAAGGAACAATCAGATCTCTGATATCAGATGGAGCTTGGCCATTTAAGGCTTTATATGTGAGAAGGAGGATTTTAAATTCTATTCTGGATTTAACAGGAAGCCAATGAAGAGAAGCCAGGATAGGCGAGATATGATCTCTCTTTTTCATTTTCATTAGAACTCTGGCTGCAGCATTTTGGATCAGCTGAAGGCTTTTAACTACAGTTTGTGGACTTCCTGATAGTAAAGAATTACAATAGTCCAGCCTTGAAGTAACAAATGCATGGACTAGTTTCTCAGCATCACCCCTGGACAGGAGATTGCTCATTTCTGCAATATTCCTCAGATGAAAGAAGGAAATTCTAGAAACCTCTTTGATATGGGATTTAAATGACAGGTCCTGATCAAAAATAACACCAAGATTTTTTACTTTATTATCTGAAATCAGTTTAATCCCATCCAAATGAAGTGACTGAATAGTACAGTTCTGATTAAAAACAGAAGAAAACTGACCAGCAGTAGTAGGGTTAAAAACACGACAGAGCCGAGCTGCAGCTCGAGTTTTAGCTTTTCCACGGGACAGCGTTGTCTCAAATAAAACAGGCATATGGTCAGAAAAGAATGAGTCACCAATTTCTAAGTTAAAGACTGGTAGACCATAAGATAAAACCAAATCAAGAGTGTGACCATGTTCATGAGTAGCACCAGTCACAGACTGCACAAAATTAAAAGAATCAATAACATTAAGAAATGACTGAGCCATAGGTGAAGTCGGACAGCAGACATGAATATTAAAATCACCAACAATGAGAACTCGGTCATATTTTGGCATGATATCGGCCAAGAAATCAGAAAAGTCATTTATAAAATTTTTGTTATACTTTGGTGGCCGATAGACTGCAGCACACAACACAGTGTGAGAGCTGCCAAGTTCAAATAGGCTCAGCTCAAAGCTACTAAACGAGGGTACGGGCAACTGCTTGCAAGTAAAACTACTTTTAAAAACAGTCACTATTCCTCCACCAGAGCCCGACATCCTTGGAGAATTAAAATAGCTGCAGTTCCCTGGGACAAGTTCATTAAAAATGCTGGAATCACCCAAGCCACGTGTCCATGATTCTGTTATAAATAAAAAATCTAATCCTTGAGAGGAAAAGAAATCCCTAATTACGAAAGTTTTATTTGCCAGCGACCTGGCATTTACCAAACCGATCCTGACAGAAATCGGCGGATCCACGTCATCAGCTGCCGTCCGGGACTCCCGGCAGAGAGGGCGCAGGTTGCTAGGATTCACCCTGCGTCTACAGGGCCGAGAAGCGCAGGGACCACGGGACTGGAACACTCCATCCCAGCCTCCACCGACAGGAACCAGACAGGAATCCACGGGATCCAACACACACAATGGACAGGAAAGGCGAGGCACCAGACCACACATCGCGGAGGCAGAGAAACCGCGCCGCAGGGCAGCCTTCAATCGCACCAGCCGACCGCTGCGCCTTCCACGGCGGCGCGCCCGCTTCCAACAGAAAGGCAAAATCCAGAAACGACACAGGTGAGCTGGAATGCCCAACGGCCGGGTCGAAGTTTTTTCTGCATTATACGTCCTCAGTAACGTGTTTCCAGCTGAGGCACCAATGTCCAGCAATGTTTGGCGATCATACACAATAAGAGAGTTTACACTTGTAATAAAATTAAAACCTGACAGGAGACAGAAACAAAACAGGAGGAGAGTCAGACGGCAAGCCTCAAACACTGGCGCCATCTTGCTTCCACAGTTTGAAAACAGTGGTAGTTGCAGGGCCTATTCTACGTGTTGCAGCTCTACGCGTTAATCCAGCTGTTTCTACTGGTCAGACTCTAACAGAGGGTTGGTACCTGATGCAGCGTCTGGAAACCCGCTGCTGTTTACACGTCGGTTCTGATCCATTCCTGCCCTGATCCACAGCCCAGCTGCTTCCTGGAGGATCAAACTGTAAAAACCACTGAATGTTCCTTTAAATTAGATCATGAACACAGAGTCTGTAATTAGAGCGCCACTGTTAACTCAGCAACACTCTTTCCCTGGTGACCCGCTGTGTCCAGGTTCACCACTGTCGCTGATTCAGGACTTTACCTTCTCCTCTGAGTCTGTGTGTGTGTGTGTGGGGGGGGGGGGGGTCGGTGTTTTGTTCAGTCGCAGTCAGCTCTTTGTTGTGTCTTGTCAGGGTTTTTAATGAAGCTCACAGATTAAACTCACACCACCCTCAGGTGTGTTTAGGTATTAATCTCTCTCAGAACTCAGACCTCCTTCCTTCCTCTGGGTTCAGCTGATCAGAACTCTGGGTTCAGCTGATCAGAACTCTGGGTTCAGCTGATCAGAACTCTGGGTTCAGCTGATCAGAACTCTGGGTTCAGCTGATCATGTCCCTTCTAGACCAGACTGAGCTGTTAGCATAGAGGAACAGAGAGCCGGACCCCTCAGGGATGACGTCACCGCAAAGGAGGTAGAAGTTCAGGAACCTTTTAGGCACATCTCGTGTTCAGAGGTGTCAGGTAACCAAGTACAAATACTTTGTTACTGGACTTAAGGACACTTTCTAGGTATCGATACTCTATTACTTATTTTACTTCCTACTTCTTCTTCTACTCAGTACATTTTCACACCAGTATCTGTACTTTCTATTCCTTACATTTTTTTTTACCATATATTTTTTTATTGGGTTAGATGGGTACAAAACATTAATTTACATGGGAATACATTTCACTTATCCTCCATCTCCCTACATTCCCAGGAAAACAATGAAAAATATTAACAATAAGCCAACATGATTCTCTCCCTCGTAACGAGAAAACAGGAGGGGAGAACATTTACAGAACCAACAAGCAAATTACAAAAAAAAAAAAAAAAAAAAAAAAAAAGAGGAGGGATCAGAAATGCTTAGAAAACAAAATCAAAAATATAACTATGACAGTTACATGTTGTGCTTAAGGTTCGACCACCAAATCCCTAACCCAACCACTGGCCTCTCTTAAAATCCTGGCTGGTGTTCCAACAGATCAAACCACTGGAAAATTTGTAGAGATTCAATTAGAGAGTGGTTATGTCAGTGTGTCTTAATTAAAGCCATACTTTTTAATCATCTTAGGAGGGAGTTGAATCAACTAAGGAAAGAATGGGATTCCAAGTTTTATAAAATTTGTCGATGCATCCCCTGATGCTGTACTTGATTTTTTCTAAGTGTAGGAGTGACATTAGATCCTTGAGCCAAGAGTCAGGGGAGGGAGGATTCTTATCCTTCCATTGAAGTAATATGCGTCTCCGGGCTACCAGAGATGCGAAAGCAATAGCGTTACTTTCCCTGTTCGTGAAGTGTGTGAGATCCTCAAGCACACCAAAGATGGAGGTCAGAGGACTCTGAGGCACTGGCTTGTTTAGAGCTTTTGTAAAAATATTGTAGAAAGAGGACCAGAATGAGCTTAATCTGGGACAGGAAAAGAACATGTGTGTATGACTGGCTGGTGACAGAGAGCATCTGTCACATGTATCACTTGTATTAAATAATTTTTTAAGTTTAGCTTTGGAGTAATGTATCCTGTGTAGGACCTTAAACTGAATTAAAGTCAGATTGGCACAAGATGAGGTGGAGTTGACCCTGTCAAGGGCCCTCTTCCACCCCTCTTCTGACACGGTGCAACCCAACTCCTTTTCCCATGAATTTCTAGTCACCAGCGAGGATGGTATTGATGACAAGATTAATTTTGTCACGACTGAAATGAATCCAGGAGCAGCCGGGAGAGATAGAATGACATCAATAAGAGTTAGAGGAGGTTTATGGGGAAAATTGGGAAAGTTACAACAAACTAAATCTCTGGCCTGAAAATATCTAAATAAATGGGATTGTGGGAGGGCGAACTTAGTTTTGAGGTTATCGAAGGAAGTAAAAATGTTCTTGTCATAGAATTGATCAAAGTTTACCAGCCCCTTCTCTTTCCACAGAGAAAAAGTCGGATCAAGTGAAGCAGGTGGGAATAAGTAATTTTCACAAAGGGGCATCAGTGGGGAGAGACAGGTGATTTTAAAGTGCCGTTTAAATTGTCTGAGAATTTTAATAGTAGATAATACAATTGGGTTGGAGGTGACTTTAGTGGGATGAGCATTTAGAGGGGAACATATCAAAACTGACAACGAGGCAGGGGTACATGAGTAGGCCTCCATCCTACACCAGTCTGTGTTGGGAGAGTTGTACCAGGTATAGACCTTTTGAATATTGGCTGCCCAATAATATGCTCTAAAATCCGGCAATGCAAGGCCTCCCTTGTCCTTGGGTCTTTGCAATACTGAGTATTTTGCTATTCCTTACATTTTTAAAACAAACGTTACTCGTTACTAGGGATGCGCAATATTGGGATTTTGGCCGATATGCCGATATTTTAAAACTCATGTAGCCGATAACCGATATCGATACCGATGTTAAAGCTGGACAAAAATAAGTAGTCATTGAAAATAGCAGTTTTGTTATCCATTTCTGACACTTTGAAAAATAATAAACTCAAATATATTTTCATATGCTGATATCAAATAGATTTTTAAAAACGCGGTATCGATCTATTTTACTTTCAGAATCTGGTGAAATTTCATCGTTCTGTTTCAAACTCTCGTGATATTTTGCAAATTCTTGTGAGATTTTGTTAGTAAAATAGATCGATACCGCGTCAATATATCAACATATAAAAATATGGCAACATTTGGTGAATTTTCGGGGGATTTCGTAGCATAACGATGACATATAGCAATATTTCATTAGTAAAAGAGATTGATATGGTGTTTTTAAATGGCAATATATCAGCATATGAATATATTGGGATATTTTAATGGATCAATATTTTTTCCCTCGTCTTTAGAAGTTTTTAAGTCTGTAAAAAAGAAGTTTTTGAGGAAGAAGAAGAAGTAGTATTTTTTATTTTTTTTAGACTTTAGAAACTCAGAAGCTGATCAAATATCGGGTTAAATATCGGTGGGGGGGCCGATGTCCGATATTCAGTTTTAAGGCCGATACCGATAGGGGGCCGATTATATCCTGCATCCCTACTCATTCCTCCTGGCTTAAGTTTAATGCAGAGGTCAGGGATTCATAAGAACAACGTTAAATCTAAAGATTGTTTCCGAGGTTCGGCTGATTTATTCGTTTATTTATTTTATTTATTTGTAGTAATTCACACAGAACAATAAACAGTGATGCCGACGTGAGTTTGGAAACTGCAAAGCTTTGTCTTAAGCGGAAAATCATGCATCTTCACAGCACAGCGTTCACAGACCCGTGAGATGCATTCATGAACGTCAGAGAGCTATGGTGCATTCAGGAGAATGGGACATTTCACACTTACAAGGAAAGAGACAAACGGAACAGAACTTAACTCGTATAATAATGTTTTTATTCAGAAACAGTGTGGGCTTTCTTATAATACTGAATGATCTATAATTGTATTTCTGTTATTTTTTGATTATGCACATCTGCTAGCGTTTAATTCTAAAAAAAATCTATAATATTACAGCAGCAAATTATCAGTTTTCCAAAAGCCTGTTTAGAATCTCCCAATGAGGCTTCAGATCATATTAAGCTGTCATTGTTTTACAGGCAGAATTAGCATTTTCTGACCTTTGACCTTTAACTACTAATGGATATACAGTCATAGTGTCGACTCCTCTGAGAGCACCGGATGCTATTTTTGGCAATTTCTATTTTTTTATTTTTATGTATAACATGAATGCATAAATATCTAATTTTATTTCAATTTAAATTCTGTTTCAAGTAACAGATCATTAAAAATGTCTCCAGACCTTTACTGGTTGATTTTTAACTGGTTCCCCTGGTTTAATGTTTCTAAATATTTATTTCCCATCATGTTCTCCAGCCAATGCAGATCATTGGCTCCGCCCACATCTAGTGAAAACTAGTGTGATTGGATGAGTCATAGAACGCAAACACTCATTGGTTAGCTAAAGGAAATCATCAGAAGCCAGCAGGTGTTCTTCAAACTGCTAACGTGAATTGTCTATGCCATGCTACAATGTGGGATTCAGAAAAAGATGCTGAAATGTCTGAAAGGTCGGACACAGGCGAGAGCGTATCGGGAGACGGAGACCAACCAGACCTCCCTCATCCTTGGCGCTATCTCATAGAAGTTTTCCATGTCCAGACCTGAAGGTCCAGAATTCTGCTGGTTTAGATGTTATTCATCCAAACTGGGAATCAGCAGAACCTGATGACCTGCTGAGGAGGTAATTCATAGTTTTAGATCAGGATCATATCAGAAGAATATAAGAAAGAACAGCAGTTAATACAGAATGATGGAAAACGGGTCCCTATGTCCTCCAGCAGTCTAAGCCTATAGCAGCAGAACTATAGAGATAGATCAGGAACCACTGAGCGGTTCCTGAACTGGAAACACTGAGCGGTTCCTGAACTGGAAACACTGACTGGTTCCTGAACTGGAAACACTGACTGGTTCCTGAACTGGAAACACTGAGCGGTTCCTGAACTGGAAACACTGACTGGTTCCTGAACTGGAAACACTGACTGGTTCCTGAACTGGAAACACTGAGCGGTTCCTGAACTGGAAACACTGACTGGTTCCTGAACTGGAAACACTGACTGGTTCCTGAACTGGAAACACTGAGCGGTTCCTGAACTGGAAACACTGAGCGGTTCTTGAACTGGAAACACTGAGCGGTTCCTGAACTGGAAACACTGAGCGGTTCCTGAACTGGACACACTGAGCGGTTCCTGAACTGGAAACACTGGAAACACTGAGCGGTTCCTGAACTGGACACACTGAGCGGTTCCTGAACTGGAAACACTGAGCGGTTCCTGAACTGGAAACACTGAGCGGTTCCTGAACTGGAAACACTGAGCGGTTCCTGAACTGGAAACACTGAGCGGTTCCTGAACTGGAAACACTGACTGGTTCCTGAACTGGAAACACTGAGCGGTTCCTGAACTGGAAACACTGACTGGTTCCTGAACTGGAAACACTGACTGGTTCCTGAACTGGAAACACTGAGCGGTTCCTGAACTGGAAACACTGAGCGGTTCTTGAACTGGAAACACTGAGCGGTTCCTGAACTGGAAACACTGAGCGGTTCCTGAACTGGACACACTGAGCGGTTCCTGAACTGGAAACACTGGAAACACTGAGCGGTTCCTGAACTGGACACACTGAGCGGTTCCTGAACTGGAAACACTGAGCGGTTCCTGAACTGGAAACACTGAGCGGTTCCTGAACTGGAAACACTGAGCGGTTCCTGAACTGGAAACACTGAGCGGTTCCTGAACTGGAAACACTGACTGGTTCCTGAACTGGAAACACTGAGCGGTTCTTGAACTGGAAACACTGAGCGGTTCTTGAACTGGAAACACTGAGCGGTTCCTGAACTGGACACACTGAGCGGTTCCTGAACTGGAAACACTGAGCGGTTCCTGAACTGGAAACACTGACTGGTTCCTGAACTGGAAACACTGAGCGGTTCTTGAACTGGAAACACTGAGCGGTTCCTGAACTGGAAACACTGAGCGGTTCCTGAACTGGAAACACTGAGCGGTTCCTGAACTGGAAACACTGAGCGGTTCCTGAACTGGAAACACTGAGCGGTTCCTGAACTGGAAACACTGACTGGTTCCTGAACTGGAAACACTGAGCGGTTCCTGAACTGGAAACACTGACTGGTTCCTGAACTGGAAACACTGACTGGTTCCTGAACTGGAAACACTGACTGGTTCCTGAACTGGAAACACTGAGCGGTTCCTGAACTGGAAACACTGACTGGTTCCTGAACTGGAAACACTGAGCGGTTCCTGAACTGGAAACACTGAGCGGTTCCTGAACTGGAAACACTGAGCGGTTCCTGAACTGGAAACACTGAGCGGTTCCTGAACTGGAAACACTGAGCGGTTCCTGAACTGGAAACACTGAGCGGTTCCTGAACTGGAAACACTGAGCGGTTCCTGAACTGGACACACTGAGCGGTTCCTGAACTGGAAACACTGAGCGGTTCCTGAACTGGAAACACTGAGCGGTTCCTGAACTGGAAACACTGACTGGTTCCTGAACTGGAAACACTGAGCGGTTCCTGAACTGGAAACACTGACTGGTTCCTGAACTGGAAACACTGACTGGTTCCTGAACTGGAAACACTGAGCGGTTCCTGAACTGGAAACACTGACTGGTTCCTGAACTGGAAACACTGAGCGGTTCCTGAACTGGAAACACTGAGCGGTTCCTGAACTGGAAACACTGAGCGGTTCCTGAACTGGAAACACTGAGCGGTTCCTGAACTGGAAACACTGACTGGTTCCTGAACTGGAAACACTGAGCGGTTCCTGAACTGGAAACACTGAGCGGTTCTTGAACTGGAAACACTGAGCGGTTCCTGAACTGGAAACACTGAGCGGTTCCTGAACTGGAAACACTGAGCGGTTCCTGAACTGGAAACACTGACTGGTTCCTGAACTGGAAACACTGAGCGGTTCCTGAACTGGAAACACTGAGCGGTTCTTGAACTGGAAACACTGAGCGGTTCCTGAACTGGAAACACTGAGCGGTTCCTGAACTGGAAACACTGAGCGGTTCCTGAACTGGAAACACTGAGCGGTTCCTGAACTGGAAACACTGAGCGGTTCCTGAACTGGAAACACTGAGCGGTTCCTGAACTGGAAACACTGAGCGGTTCCTGAACTGGAAACACTGAGCGGTTCCTGAACTGGAAACACTGACTGGTTCCTGAACTGGAAACACTGACTGGTTCCTGAACTGGAAACACTGAGCGGTTCCTGAACTGGAAACACTGACTGGTTCCTGAACTGGACACACTGAGCGGTTCCTGAACTGGAAACACTGAGCGGTTCCTGAACTGGAAACACTGACTGGTTCCTGAACTGGAAACACTGACTGGTTCCTGAACTGGAAACACTGACTGGTTCCTGAACTGGAAACACTGACTGGTTCCTGAACTGGAAACACTGAGCGGTTCCTGAACTGGAAACACTGAGCGGTTCCTGAACTGGAAACACTGACTGGTTCCTGAACTGGAAACACTGACTGGTTCCTGAACTGGAAACACTGACTGGTTCCTGAACTGGAAACACTGAGCGGTTCCTGAACTGGAAACACTGACTGGTTCCTGAACTGGAAACACTGAGCGGTTCCTGAACTGGAAACACTGAGCGGTTCCTGAACTGGAAACACTGACTGGTTCCTGAACTGGAAACACTGAGCGGTTCCTGAACTGGAAACACTGAGCGGTTCCTGAACTGGAAACACTGACTGGTTCCTGAACTGGAAACACTGAGCGGTTCCTGAACTGGAAACACTGAGCGGTTCCTGAACTGGAAACACTGAGCGGTTCCTGAACTGGAAACACTGAGCGGTTCCTGAACTGGACACACTGAGCGGTTCCTGAACTGGAAACACTGACTGGTTCCTGAACTGGAAACACTGAGCGGTTCCTGAACTGGAAACACTGACTGGTTCCTGAACTGGAAACACTGAGCGGTTCCTGAACTGGAAACACTGAGCGGTTCCTGAACTGGAAACACTGAGCGGTTCCTGAACTGGAAACACTGACTGGTTCCTGAACTGGACACACTGAGTGGTTCCTGAACTGGAAACACTGAGCGGTTCCTGAACTGGAAACACTGACTGGTTCCTGAACTGGACACACTGAGCGGTTCCTGAACTGGAAACACTGACTGGTTCCTGAACTGGAAACACTGAGTGGTTCTTGAACTGGAAACACTGAGCGGTTCCTGAACTGGAAACACTGACTGGTTCCTGAACTGGAAACACTGAGTGGTTCTTGAACTGGAAACACTGAGCGGTTCCTGAACTGGAAACACTGAGCGGTTCCTGAACTGGAAACACTGACTGGTTCCTGAACTGGAAACACTGAGCGGTTCCTGAACTGGAAACACTGACTTGTTCTTGAACTGGAAACACTGAGCGGTTCCTGAACTGGAAACACTGAGCGGTTCCTGAACCGGAAACACTGAGCGGTTCCTGAACTGGAAAAACTGAGCGGTTCCTGAACTGGAAACACTGAGCGGTTCCTGAACTGGACACACTGAGCGGTTCCTGAACTGGACACACTGAGCGGTTCCTGAACTGGACACACTGAGCGGTTCCTGAACTGGAAACACTGACTGGTTCCTGAACTGGAAACACTGAGCGGTTCCTGAACTGGAAACACTGACTGGTTCTTGAACTGGAAACACTGAGCGGTTCCTGAACTGGAAACACTGAGCGGTTCCTGAACTGGAAACACTGAGCGGTTCCTGAACTGGAAACACTGACTGGTTCCTGAACTGGAAACACTGAGCGGTTCCTGAACTGGAAACACTGACTGGTTCTTGAACTGGAAACACTGAGCGGTTCCTGAACTGGAAACACTGAGCGGTTCCTGAACTGGAAACACTGAGCGGTTCCTGAACTGGAAACACTGAGCGGTTCCTGAACTGGAAACACTGAGCGGTTCCTGAACTGGAAACACTGAGCGGTTCCTGAACTGGAAACACTGAGCGGTCTACCTCAGCCTGCAGGGGAATTACAGATGAGGGATTAAAATAATCCCTGAGCTGTTTTCCTTTGTCTTTGCTTGATCAGCGTGTTTGTTAGAAGGGCGGCGGCGGCGGCGGTCAGCTGACCCTCCAAACATTCACCTTTGCTTTAATCTGATCCCAAAACATTGTTTTCACTATTTTCGATAATCTTTGTACGTGTGTGCATGAAGGTTTACATCTCATTAGATAAACTATTAAAATAATCAGATTTTTTTTTCCTTCTTTGATTATAAATAATGTTATTTAGAGTTATTATATAAAAACTGTAGGAAATGGCGTCAAGCAGTGATCTGCACTCTGTTCACTACTACTAGTAGTGCTCTACTATTACTAGTCTTTGACCACAGGAAGCTGGTTAGCTAAACCAGTAAGGAGCCCAGCGGGTCCCGTTTGGCCCCTGAACCGGTTCTGAATAAAACCGAACCTTAAGCTGCGGATGATGATGAAGATGATGAAGATGATGAAGGTGGACCTCCTCCTCATCGTCGCTGGCTGCAGGATTTGAAAGGAATCTTGTTGCTTTAATCTGAAATGCGAGCTGGGAATTATCCCCAGTGACACAAACTTCCAGCTCGCTGCGTGTTTGGTTCTGTCCGGGCGGATTAGAGAAGAACCCCCGCGGGTCGCCCCCCCCCAGCGGGTCGCCCCCCCGCCTCGCTCCCAGGATTAAGGCAGCGTCTCCAGAGCAGCGAGGATTAAAGCTGCCAGATTAAGACTCCTTTTGTTGAAGGTGTGAGATGAGATGAAGACGAGGAGCTGGATTAGTAGAGAAGTGCTGAACTCTTGCACTGAGATCCAAATGTTTCTGGGCCGGGCCCAGAACTCCCCACAGGTCCACACAGACAGAGGAGGAAGATTCTGATGGACTGATCAGAACCTGAAGGTCTGACAGCAGCTCAGGAAGGTTCTGGAAGAAACATGTTTGGATCAGAACCAAAGCGGATTCTGCAGGTGGATGGGTTCTGACCCGGTTCAGACTATCTGACCAGAACCTGATTTCCACACAGAAGAATAATCAGAACTAATCTGCTCCAGAACCGGCTGCAGAACCAAGACCTGGTTCTAGCTCCTCACCATGTGACGGTTCCCATGACAACAGCAGAGGTCCTGATGTGTCTCAGATTAACCAAATTATTGCTGCGACATGAGATTAGAAAGAACAGTCGGCTTGTATTCATCAGATTACAGCTGCGGGTTAATCCCTGATGGGGGGTAATCTGGGAAAGACGCTGGCTCAGCAGGAACTGCAGGAAAACAACACAGAACTGTAGGTTCTGGTTCTGCTGCCTGGAGGTGGATCTCAGCAGGTTCTGCAGAACCTTCAGATCAGTGGATCAGAACAGGTGCTGGAAGGAGACCGGGTCGAACCAGAACCACGGCCAGTTCTTGGTTCTTCTCTAAATGTGTCTCCTGTCCTGCTGGTACAGGGACTCTATCAGGTTCTCCAGAACCTTCAGTGGGTTCTAGGGAGACTTTCAGAGCCACCAATTGGAACCAGGAGGAACCACAGCCTGGTAATATAACCCCGGATTCTCCTCAGTAACCAAGGTTCTGGTTCTGGCATCAGAGGTTCTTTAGAGAACAACCAGCATTATGAAGACCAAGGAGGGAACCCAGCAGACCATGTAGGCTCTGCAGGAACATCTGTCCTCAGGACCCTGGAAGATCTGGACTGTCTCCACCAGTGGGACCTGAGGAGATGACCTGTTGCTCCAGATGATGTTGGTGAAGAAGAGCCAACCGAAGCAGAACCTGTCTGCAGGGTGGTGGCAGCATCATGCTGTGGGACAGAGAAGCTGTTCAGAGATTATAGTGAAGATGGATGGAGATTCACAAGGAGCACCTCCACCTTCCAGGAGGAGAACCACCCTAAACCTCCAACTGGAGAAACCATAGCAGGGTTAGATGTTGGATCAGAACGGCCTAGTCAAAGTCCAAAATCTGTATCAGGATCTCTCCTGGGTCTCTATCCGTTAGAGGCAGAGGAGCAGACAGAAGGAGTTCCTAACTCATCCAGTTGTGCTGCAGTGGACTTCAGAACACCTGAGCTGAGGAAGTTCTCTGAAGTATCTGAGAAAGGTCTGTATGCAGGTCTGAAGGTCCTGAACAGAGAGATGTTGGTCGGGGTCAGAGAGTCCAGGTGGTCTGATGTGTTTGGACCAGGTTCATCTCCCAGGAGCAGCGTTGATCGCAGATCAGGGAGTCAGCGTTGATCGCAGATCAGGGAGTCAGCGTTGATCGCAGATCAGGGAGTCAGCGTTGATCGCAGATCAGGGAGTCAGCGGTGATCGCAGATCAGGGAGTCAGCGTTGATCGCAGATCAGGGAGTCAGCGTTGATCGCAGATCAGGGAGTCAGCGTTGATCGCAGATCAGGGAGTCAGCGTTGATCGCAGATCAGGGAGTCAGCAATGATCGCATATCAGGGAGTCAGCGTTGATCGCCGATCAGGGAGTCGGCGTTGATCACAGATCAGGGAGTCAGCGTTGATCGCAGATCAGGGAGTCAGGATTGATCGCAGATCAGGGAGTCGGCATTGATCACAGATCAGGGAGTCAGCGTTGATCGCAGATCAGGGAGTCAGGATTGATCGCAGATCAGGGAGTCGGCGTTGATCGCAGATCAGGGAGTCAGCGTTGATCACAGATCAGGGAGTCAGCGTTGATCACAGATCAGGGAGTCGGCGTTGTTCGCAGATCAGGGAGTCGGCGTTGATCTCAGATCAGGGAGTCAGCGTTGATCGCAGATCAGGGAGTCAGCGTTGATCGCAGATCAGGGAGTCAGGATTGATCGCAGATCAGGGAGTCAGGATTGATCGCAGATCAGGGAGTCGGCGTTGATCGCAGATCAGGGAGTCGGCGTTGATCGCAGATCAGGGAGTCGGCGTTGATCGCAGATCAGGGAGTCAGGATTGATCGCAGATCAGGGAGTCGGCGTTGATCGCAGATCAGGGAGTCAGCGTTGATCGCAGATCAGGGAGTCGGCGTTGATCGCAGATCAGGGAGTCAGGATTGATCGCAGATCAGGGAGTCGGCGTTGATCGCAGATCAGGGAGTCAGCGTTGATCACAGATCAGGGAGTCAGCGTTGATCACAGATCAGGGAGTCGGCGTTGTTCGCAGATCAGGGAGTCGGCGTTGATCTCAGATCAGGGAGTCAGCGTTGATCGCAGATCAGGGAGTCAGCGTTGATCGCAGATCAGGGAGTCAGGATTGATCGCAGATCAGGGAGTCAGGATTGATCGCAGATCAGGGAGTCGGCGTTGATCGCAGATCAGGGAGTCGGCGTTGATCGCAGATCAGGGAGTCGGCGTTGATCGCAGATCAGGGAGTCAGGATTGATCGCAGATCAGGGAGTCGGCGTTGATCGCAGATCAGGGAGTCAGCGTTGATCGCAGATCAGGGAGTCGGCGTTGATCGCAGATCAGGGAGTCAGGATTGATCGCAGATCAGGGAGTCGGCGTTGATCGCAGATCAGGGAGTCAGGATTGATCGCAGATCAGGGAGTCGGCGTTGATCGCAGATCAGGGAGTCGGCGTTGATCTCAGATCAGGGAGTCAGGATTGATCGCAGATCAGGGAGTCAGGATTGATCGCAGATCAGGGAGTCAGGATTGATCGCAGATCAGGGAGTCAGGATTGATCGCAGATCAGGGAGTCGGCGTTGATCGCAGATCAGGGAGTCGGCGTTGATCGCAGATCAGGGAGTCGGCGTTGATCGCAGATCAGGGAGTCAGCGTGCCTTTGGTCAGGCTGAGGAAACGCTGCAGCATCTGTTTAGACTAGCTCTACCTCCTACAGTGAGCGGCTGGTTTAGAACACAGTTTTAATAATAAACTTTTTATTTTTGGTCCTAGATGTTCATCAGACCTACGGAGGTTGGTTTGTCTGGTTCATCTTCTGTTCGCTCAGACAAAGATGAGCATTTAGCTCAGCAGGAGAAATAAAATGAAGGAGGCGGGTTCTGCAGATGTTGGACTGATGTTCAGAGGCCTTCTGTCTTTACGTCTGAGGACAGAGGGACAGAGGGACAGAGGGACAGAGTTAGCTTATCAGACCTGAAGGATGTAGATAGGTTCTGTGGCATGTTAATAATGATATGCTTATTTAAATTTTTTTGGGGGGGATTGATGTCTTTTAATGTCTCTTTTCTGTCTCTCCATCTCTCCGTCTCTCTTTCTGTCTCTCCGTCTCTCTGTCTGTCTGTCTCTCTATCTGTCTCTCCGTCACTCTGTCTCTCTGTCTATCTGTCTGTCTCTCTGTCTATCTGTCTCTCTGTCTGTCTCTCCGTAACTCTGTCTCTCTGTCTGTCTCTCCGTCTCTCTGTCTGTTTGTCTGTCTCTCCATCTCTCTATCTGTCTCTCTGTTTGTCTCTCTCTATCCGTCTCTGTGTCTGTCTGTCTCTCCGTCTCTCTGTCCGTCTCTGTGTCTCTCCGTCTCTCTGTCTCTCCGTCTATCTGTCTGTCTGTCCATCTCTCCGTCTCTGTGTCTCTCCGTCTGTCTCTCTGTCTGTCTCTCCGTCTCCCTGTCTTTCTCTCTGTCTGTCTCTCTGTCTGTCTCTCAGTCTCTCTGTCTGTCTCTCTGTCTGTCTCTCAGTCTCTCTGTCTGTCTCTCTGTCTCTCTGTCTGTCTCTCCGTCTCTCTGTCTGTCTCTCAGTCTCTCTGTCTGTCTCTCTGTCTGTCTCTCAGTCTCTCTGTCTGTCTCTCTGTCTATCTGTCTGTCTGTCCATCTCTCCGTCTGTCTCTCTGTCTGTCTCTCCGTCTCCCTGTCTGTCTCTCTGTCTGTCTCTCTGTCTGTCTCTCAGTCTCTCTGTCTGTCTCTCCGTCTCTCTGTCTGTCTCTCAGTCTCTCTGTCTGTCTCTCCGTCTCTCTGTCTGTCTCTCTGTCTGTCTCTCCGTCTCTCTGTCTGTCTCTCTGTCTGTCTGTCTGTCTCTCTGTCTGTCTCTCCGTCTCCCTGTCAGTCTCTCTGTCTGTCTCTCCGTCTCTCTGTCTGTCTCTCTGTCTGTCTCCCTGTCTCTCTGTCTCTCTGTCCATCTCTCCGTCTCTCTGTCTCTCTGTCTGTCTCTCCGTCTCCCTGTCTGTCTGTCTCTCTGTCTGTCTCTCCGTCTCCCTGTCAGTCTCTCTGTCTGTCTCTCCGTCTCTCTGTCTGTCTCTCTGTCTGTCTCCCTGTCTCTCTGTCTCTCTGTCCATCTCTCCGTCTCTCTGTCTCTCTGTCTGTCTCTCCGTCTCTCTGTCTGTCTCTCTGTCTGTCTCCCTGTCTCTCTGTCTCTCTGTCCATCTCTCCGTCTCTCAGTCTCTCTGTCTGTCTCTCTGTCTCCCTGTCTGTCTCTCTGTCTGTCTCTCTGTCTGTCTCTCAGTCTCTCTGTCTGTCTCTCCGTCTCTCTGTCTGTCTCTCAGTCTCTCTGTCTGTCTCTCCGTCTCTCTGTCTCTCTGTCTGTCTCTCCGTCTCTCTGTCTGTCTCTCTGTCTGTCTCTCCGTCTGTCTGTCCATCTCTCCGTCTCTGTGTCTCTCCGTCTGTCTCTCTGTCTGTCTCTCCGTCTCCCTGTCTGTCTCTCTGTCTGTCTCTCTGTCTGTCTCTCAGTCTCTCTGTCTGTCTCTCCGTCTCTCTG